GGAAGACCTACTAATGAAAGACCTACTATGTATAGTAGGTCTTGTAGGTCTTTCTCCCATCACACTGTGATTACGTTAAGAGAAGATTGTGGTTTTCTTATGTTTGTGTCTTTACTGTCTAGGAAAAGTCATGCACATAGAAGATGTTCAATCAATATTTGTTGAGTAAATTAATATAGCATAGATTAAACTAAGAGGGGACAGGAGGCAAGCTTTTAAATTGAAAAACCAATTAAAAAGCCACAGTCTATTTGTTTTATATTTAGGCTTTCATTATTTTTTAACTGATGGCAGCTGAGGGAGAGTAGTGGGACTAGTAAGGAAAAGAGAGAACACAGAATTTGGAAGGAAATATTAAGCAACATTAAGCAAATGAAAGTTGAGGTAGCAGTAGGAGCTGCCCAATAGACAAATAGAAATATGGATCTGGAGGTCAAGAGAGATGCAAACATACAATGTCAAAATACTTATATCTTAGAAAGCTTTTATGTAGAAGTTTGAAGCCATGACAGATAGCTTGCAAAAAGAGCAAATGTATAAGAAATAGAGATCTGAGAGTAGAATCTTAGTCAATATCTATATGGTAGGTGAAGAGAGGAAGGGAACTCAATGAAGATGAAAGGGAAAGGACAATTAGAGAATAGTAAAGGGACCAAGAGAGATCAACACAAAAGGCAAGGGAAAAGATAGGCAAAGCTGGCTTCTGTAGTATGGGTGAATAAGGTGGAGGAAATATCAAATGACTTTGGTCTTCTTAGTAAAACATAAAACAAGGTCATATATAAAGAATGAGAGATGATAGAAGTAAGATTTAGCCTTGGAAAAGTGGAAAGGTCTGAAGTACACTTTTCAGGAAGTATAATAGAAAATCTGTTAGAAAGGACCAAGGGTTTGACTGAGCAGCATGGAGAACATAGCTGCGTTTAGAAAACATGCATTTGGATGTCATTAAATAGCCTCATTTTAGTGTTTGCCATCTGGAAGCAGGGGTGAGAGAATGAAAAAATGCCCTTCCTTGAGTTGGAATTTATCCATGCAAGGGATTAGTAGAGGAAAGGACAGTGGGTGGAGAGCACCATGAATTCCACCTGAACTGTTTTTAATGCCTGACTCTGTGATAGAAGTTAGGAAGAAAGGAAAGCAAGGAAGGCTTAGTAAGGGACTGATAGTAATGGTGGGCATCCAGACTCAATTAGTGGAAAGACAGACTCATTAAGAATTAAGGAATGGGGGGGCGCCTGGGTGGCGCAGTCGGTTAAGCATCCGACTTCAGCTCAGGTCACGATCTCGCGGTCCGTGAGTTCGAGCCCCGCGTCGGGCTCTGGGCTGATGGCTCGGAGCCTGGAGCCTGCTTCCATTCTGTGTCTCCCTCTCTCTCTGCCCCTCCCCCGTTCATGCTCTGTCTCTCTCTGTCCCAAAAATAAATAAACGTTGAAAAAAAAAATAAAATAAAAGAATTAAGGAATGGAAGAGGAAAAGAAAATAGTGTGTGATCAAAGAGGGAACTTTTAGATATAAAGATTAATTTTTTAATTCATGCTTTTAAACCAGTCTGTTACTATAAAAAATTTAAACTACTCTGACAGATAGATTAAACACCTCAATAAGGTTTCCAGTTCACTCCCCCGGCTCTGTCCAGTTGATGCTTGTTATATCCTCCGCCACCATGTTTTCCATATCCATCTCTTGTCACTTACCATGAATTCCTCCAGATATCATCTTCTATTTTTATTAATTTTATTATTAATTTATTTTTTTATTAATTTTATTAATTTTTTGAAACTTAAGATCTCCTATAAAAATGTATCCTTAGTTCTGACACTTGTAATGTTCATTAAATTCATCTTTTTATTGTTTTCCTGTGTTTTAAAATGTTTACTATGTGCCCAGTTTTATAATATGTAGCTGTACATCTCTAGTAATTAACAAAGAAAATAATTAGTCATGCAAATTAAAGTTATGGAATTAAAACCTTTATTAACAATGCGTTATTAAGTACATTTCATCTGAAATAATCTTTAAATTTTAACTGTTCAGAGGAAGTTTATATATGCAGCAAGATTAGATTACCTGTTTTTTTTTTAAGACTTTATACAATAGTATGATGTGATGCAGTCGATGAATAAAATAAACCAGTTAGCCAACTCTGACAAGGAGAGGCCAGTTCAATATAATCCTAATGTAACCAATCAATTGTAACTCCCTAATATTTGGGCAGCTATAATGTTGGATTTGAGGGTGGAAGATCACTACTCCATTGGCTAGACTTGGTGGCCTTTCCCGGCCTGCTAGTGTCCCTTCTATAAGAGAGAAGAATAATATAGTGTTGCCATTAATCATATTATTATTATTACTGTAACATTAATAATAACTACCACTTCTTGAGTTCTTAATATAATTCAGTCACTCTGTTCTGAGTAACATAATTCATACACTTGCCTCGGACACATGTATAACTGCTCCACTTTGTAGTTTATAGAAGGGACCTTTTCCAAACGATAGTATATAGTACAGATGTCAAAGGAGAGCTGTGAACAGAGCTTTTAAACTGATTTTAAATCCTTCAATACTCTAAACTATGGCCTGGATCGAGCTTTCAAGCATAATATTTACTAATTAATAAGTAATTAAATACAAGAAGTCCAATTTTTCTGGAAAGAATGACTATTTCTTCTGCAAAGAATGTGTTTCTATTTTTCAAAAATGCCAAACCATATTTCAAGAAAATGAAATATCTTCATAAGGTTGTGTTGCCATTGCAACAACAAGAACTCCACAGTATAACCATAGTACTATCTGTACCTTTTATGGTGGAATACTCAAAGCATTTTTCCAGTTATAAGACTTATATTCACGGTTTGGACATCACTTTTATACGATTAGTTTCTGGAAAAATAAAGTAATACTCAACATTTTTCTTTTTTCTCTGTTATTGAAAACGTGTGTGGGTTTCCCTTTTCCCACACAAGGGCCTCTTCACCCACATCTTCCTGAAATGGAAAAGAAAAGAGGAGTGGGTGACAGAGAAGTGGGAAGGGTGCATATTCTCACTGCATAACTAAATAAGGGAGAGCAGGAAGTGGTCTATTCAGTAAGAGAAGCATTTTCTCCTTAGATAAGTGACTTTCTCCATTTCTTACCCAAAAAAGAAAACTGGGTATACCGTTGAATTCCTCTTGACCACATCTTCCTGTGTTCATCTTCACAAAGGAGCTTAAATTTTTTTGGCATTTCTTTACATCCCCCCCCCTTTTTTGGCATCTAATTTGGTTATTTTCAACTTTTTTCAACAGATTAAACATTTAGAATTTAGGAAGGTTTTGTTTAGTAGTCCATTAACTTAAAATAAACAAGCACAAATGAACTGTGTTGATGTTTTTCAGAATATTACCTTTACATAACCCATCAACACACCCATTACAATTAAAGAGGGCTTTTGAACAAGCATTTATATATTCATTTTAAAATTGCTATTTGCATACATTCTGTGCAGTGCTTCTTCACTGTCATATGAATGTGTAGTCTTCTGATTACTTATTCTGTGTTGATATTGCAGCTGTAATTATTTATGTAAGTAGGCAAAACCATTAGCACAGATATGAGCTATACAGAAAACCATGACACTATTAAAAGTTATAATTCTGTATTTTTGTTATGGTAGTGTATCTGAGTGGATGTTTTATTTCCTTTAAATATAATTATTTTTGAAAGTTTGAAGTATTTATACTGAGATAGTTATTCTTTGCACCAATTTAGACTTCCTAATTAATCACCTATAATTACCTATAAATTAGTACATTACCTATAAATTACCTATCAATTAATAACCTCATGCATCTTACATCTAAATCAGGCTAGTGTTTTAGATTGTTAGAGCATGTAAAATCAATTTTAAAACATTGTTAAATAATATACCTTTGATATTCTCAGTATAAAAGGCCATCGTGACTCAAAGTGATTGAAAGCAGGTATTTATTAAATAACATGAGACTTTAAGGTCAAGATGAGAAGATAATCCTAAAAAAACTTCTTGGAGGGGTTAATGCAACAAATTACTGACATATATATTTATTAGAAAATACTAATTATAAATATTTTATACATATGCCATGTGTATCTTTAGCAAAGGACTACTAAATATGAGTCATTTTTGTATTTTTATTTCACTAATGAGAACTTCATAATGGATGAAGTTCAATGAATAAACTTAAGTTCTCAGGAGAGCCTCTCTAATTAAATTTCCTTTTCCATTTGACTTCCACCCTTCACTGAACTCTTCCCCTCTATAAGTTCATTTCAAACCTTACTCATTTGTGTTCTTTTATTTGTGTTCTATTGGCCTAATAGCTTAACTTCAGGCATTATATAAAAACCAAAGTTCGGTTCCCTTTTGTTTCCAGGTAAATAAGGTTAGAGGCTTTTTTCTACTTTCTAAATCTAATTATTTAAAAAAATTTTTTTAAATAAAAATTTCTAGGAGCTTATCAGTCTAAAGCCACAGAAAAACAATACTGCCTACTTTAGCATTTTAAACGTCCATACTGTATTTTTATGTTTGAATTTGTGATCTTTATCTCTTCCTCCTCCAAAAATGCTCTAGCATTTTTTAAAAGTTTCCTATCAAATGTAGGTGAGAACATTTTAGAAATTTTTCAAGAAAATTGACATAATTATTGCCAGTTAGAGGTGTTACACCATCACGTCATTTGTCCCTTGAATTGATGTTCTAGAAGTTATAGAGAAAAACAGGATTTAAGGAATTAAGCAAAATATAAAAAAGTGTTCAGTTAGAAATGGCTCTACAGATTTTTCCATTACTTTTGTAATTTTGTGAGTCAGGTCAGATCTATTATTGTCTTTATGATTTATTTGTCAGTAAATGCAATATTGACATTTGTTTGGAAGAAATAAAGGCTTGCTTAGTTATAGTTGGAGTCCATTTGGGTACTAATGGTACTGATATTCTTGTTCACATATTGCAATTTTTTTTTTTTTTGCAGTTTTACTAAAGGGAGGAAAAAAAGAGGAAGAGAAACCATTTAGAGACTGTGCAGATGTATATCAAGCTGGTTTTAATAAAAGTGGAATCTACACTATTTATATTAATAATATGCCAGAACCCAAAAAGGTAAAACCAGAAGTGTTTGTTTACGAGATGTAAAGCAGATCCTAGTTGAATTGCTGAATAATCAGATTGATTTGTGGGCTTGTTAAACTGAAAATATATATGCCTGAGCTCTTTTCTCCCAAAGATACTGTTTGCCAGGTCCATAAAAGATGAAAACCCTATTGTACAGACCTCCCCCAATCCCACACCTCCTGTCCCTCTTTCACAAAGTTTTCTATTTATCCTCTGTTCATTTCTGGGATGTCCCATTGCTCATAAATGCTTGCCTTGCATAGATTACATGTTGAAGTAGTATGCACTTCAAGTACATGGAGAAGAGTTAGGAGCAATCTTCAAAGTCCCAAGGACCCAGATGGCACATATCATGTACAGTCCAGATACTTGTAGAGGGGGAGCCAGGGTCATATAACTGGTTGCAGAATCATTGCTCTTATTAGGGTGGGAGAAACGTATTCTATCTTAACTCACAATCTTGATAGGATTTGCTTTTCATGTTTACCTAAAAGAGTAGGTTGGATGATAGGATTCATCAGTATGTTGAATAAGATCCAAAGTAAACTTTGAAGCAAACACTATGTTCCTGCTGTCATATCTCCTTTATATATGCTTTCCCCCTATTTATTCATTAAATCATCCATCCATTCCTTCACTCAATACATATTCAGTGAGTGTCATTCATCAGTCCCTGCCTAGGGACACAATATAGAACAAACAGATCCCACTGTAGTGGTGAAGACAGACAGTTACACAGATAATTACAACATACTGTGGAGATGTAGGGATTGAGACAGTCTGTTTGAAGCAGAATATATGGAGAGCCTTGAGGAGAGCCATGCTCTTTGGCATGTAAAAGCTTTATGTAGCCCAAGGTGCCAAGAGGGACCCAAAGCTCCAGGAAGACCACCTGCCTTTGTAATGTTCCATGCTCAAAAGATGAAACAACTTTCGTCTTCTCTTTGCCCCACCTAAATTACCAGTCCCATGTCCTCATTTCCTGTGGATACTGAGCAAGTGTTCTTAGAAGGCCTTTCCTAATTCCCTCAAGCAGCTTTGAATGACTTTCTCACCAGCAGGGTTCTACAAGGCAAGGACTGTGTCTTTGATTTTCTGGGACCCAGCACAGTGTCTGGCACATAGCAAGTCTTCAGTAAATATGTGTTTGAATGAATGAATAAATGACCTTCTGATGATAATACCAACACTTCCATGTAGTATACAGTAAGTCAGTCTAATTTAGTCTTCTTGATTATTAGTCTCTTTCGATGGGTGAAAGAAATGCATCTTAGAGACCAGTGTGCCAGATGTTACATCATTGTCAAGAGCAGAGTCTGGACTCTCCCAACATCCTGTCTCTCCTCAATACAGTAAGGATTAGTGGTTTAAGTTAGCTCAGTGTTTTTTGTTTTTTTTTCCATTTCCTCGGAAAAAATTTCTTCTAAAAGAGTCCTTTCATGCTGTTCTATAATGAGGAAGGGTGGGGGGGGGAGTTCCATACATTGCTACCTGAGCCACCCACCAAAGAAGTTTAGTTTCACCTGTTTTTCATTTGGGGCTTCTGTGAAAACCTCACTTAAATTAAGTGCTCCATGGATTAAAAGGGGGAAAAAAACTGTGAAGGCACAATGGTGACTCTGGTAGTAAAGAGAAGAGGGTAACTTATTGTAAAGGGAAACATTTTGAATCCTTTGGATCTTATGATATTGAAGCCTTCTTACTATACTTGCTGATATCTTAAAAGAATACTTAAGCGTAAATTCAATTGGTATTTAATTTACACATGTATACACATCCACATACTCACACACCATCCATAGTAGTGTTTAAGTGTATCAGAAACTGTCCTGGGAGAGAGGAGTGGAGCTAACAGAAATACTCTATAATTTACCTACAGTATTCCCCAAGACCTGAAAGAATCCCCAAATTATTGTCAGTTCCACTAAAATAGAATTTGACTATACCAATAAAGTTATCTAAAAACATTAAGTGACCTTCCTTTAGACATCTAATGATTCTATGACATATATGAATATAAAAATAAAACAAGTTTTAAGGTTTTTAGATTAACATTCACACTTTCAGAATCCTTTTCACTCTATCACCCACTACTGTCACATGGCCCTGGGTTTTGGCAGAGAGGACATTACAAATAAAGTTTTGATCACTTCATGTATTTTAATTCATGTATAACTACCACCAGTTTGAGATACAAATGATGCACAGGCTGTTTCAGAATCACTGCTCCTGTTAGGACGGAAGAAAAATATACTATCTTAACTCATAATCGTGAACAAATTTGCTTTTAATATTTACATAAAAGAGTGGGTTGGAGAATTCAGTTCACTAGTTCACTGGCTGACTTCTGTGTTGGTTTCATCAGGATAGCATGATTTCAACCTACACCTCTGCAAAATGGTGGATTTTGCATGTGATGGAGCTTCAGGGTTGTTCCTGAATAAATTACATCTAAAATATTAAATTCACAAGTGCCAAATATCTGCTTAGTCAAGCTTTAAGGTTTGGGCCTAAGAAAAAATAATAGCCTGAGCAAGTTAGCAATAATACCAGTATAAACATATAAGAGGCAAATTTTTATCACTGTGGAGACAGCCCCAGAGGAAGGAAGTTCACATGTTGTCTGGTCAGGACTATCATGAGATTTTAGTTTTGTTGCAAATAGCAGAGCATAGTGAGAGAAAGCGATCACTGAACAGAAAGGAGAAAGACTTCGGCTTTCTTCTTGACTTGGGTGTTCCTTCCTTTGTTTTATTCTTTCCCCTTTATGATCACAGGTCCTCTCACAAGTACTAATGCAGTTCTATTATGGAAACTTTAGATTGATAAACCTGTGCTTTTTCATACATAGCAATTTTTTAAAATCTCATTTAGCATGGCATTAGTAAGAAAAATTATTGTATGACTTTTCCCTAGTATAATTTAGAAGCTGGTCAATACAGGAATTCAAATGCATTCACAGTTTGCCAGGTCTATTCTAAGCACTTTAGATGTAAAAACTCATTTGTTGACTCTTTTCAATAACTATGGGATAGGTGCTCCCGTTGTCCCTATTTTAGAAAAATAACTTGCCCAAATCACATAGTAAGTATCGAACACAGGCTTTGTAATAAAGGCATCAACTCCAGACAGTATCTCTTGGGGGCGGTGGGGGGGGGGGTGCACGGCGGAGGGGAGTACAGCGGAGAGGGAGCTAAGTAAGATAATTGTGTTTGTTTTCTTGGTGACTAAAGTTGCACCATTTATATTTTTTAAATATGAACCTATGTGAGTGACACAGGAGAGGGTTTATTATCGTAAAATTGATTCATGTTCTGATTATAAGCCACCCTGCTCCTTTCTACCTTATAATCTCACTTTCTTCTCCTATGTTGATATAAGTCATTGGAATTCTCTATAAAAATGCTTGGAAAATGCATCAGATGTTCACTCTTCTGAGTAGATTGTGCTTTGTAGATCTAAAATTCAGTGCTACCTTTGGATATGCTTGGCACAATCTTTGCTTACTGTAATGCTTGCAGAAACTCTAGCTCTAGCAAGGGTAAGAAACTTAAGGCCAGCCTATAAAAATAAAACAAAAAGTTCATATATGTAAGATATGGGATATGGACCAATCAACAAAATTGAGCTATTAGGCAGTTGACACAAACTATTACAAAGTGTTCATCTTTTAGGCAGAGTAAGAGTTGCAAGCATACAGAATTGTTTTATAGTTATTTTTCGGACATCACTCCCTTCCAAGAAATAATGTCTGCAAAGATCAGTGTTATCTTTTCAAATGAGATGTAGAAGTCAAAGGCAGTTTCCTAGGACTATTTAATTTTTCAAGCAGATAAAATACAAGGATCAGATCATTCATGTATTTATTTTTTACTTTTGTGTTTCTAATGACTGTGGTTATTTTTCTCTCTGAATTATCTTCAATGCATAGTAGTAGGAAGTAGGATTTTTCCTTTCATTTCATGAGTTTCTAAAACCAAATTCTTTATAGCCAGTTTAGTTTAATCCAAAAAACCAAACCATTAAATCATAACTCTGCTTATTGTAAAATATTAAAAATTTGTTTCTGAATTATAAGTCCCCTAATTCTTGGCAAAGGACCATAGCAAATGTGTTGAGCTTTTTTTTTATTTAAGTTTATGGAAAAATAATTAACATCCTCAAGCCTAATCATTCCAACTTGTATGGAGCATAAAACCATAAGAACTATGTGAATCAAATTTCCTTTTTTTGTTTGGGTTTAAATCTCTGTATTATGTTAAAAGGTATTTAATGCTTGAAAGCTTTGACCTTGCCTGGGATAGGAGCCAGTTCAATCTTTTCTTGGATAGAGTTAAGCCCAAGTCATATGATCAATAAATACAACAGGCATTGTAAATGTAGTAGGGCCCTTGTCTCCAGGAAGGACACCACCAGATAGCACAGACCACACAATATTGGTGAATGAACTTTTCAAGTCCTTTCATGTCAAATCTTTTGAAATCAACCACCTATTTTCACCTATTTTCTTAAACTTCCTTCATCTGTTAAGCATAGCCTTTTTTGTTTTTCTTCTGACTAGAAATAACATGTTTGGTGTTTTGTTTTTTTTGTTTTTTTTTGGCTGTAGTGAATCCAACTTCTTAAATAGATATATAATAAAAAGTAGCATGCTCAAAAATTAGTGGTGTCAATATTATATTTATATTAGATATTATATTACTATATTAATTATAAGTATATAAAATATATAAACTATATTAATATAACATATTATTAAGCTGGTAATCATAAGGACAATTTATTGAACTGCCATGGATTTTGACTTTGTACATTTCATATTATTCTTATTATAAACAAATTATATGCAATGGTAATTATAATAGTAAACTATAGTATAATATGTAAGATATTACAGAAAATATGTGCTGTAATATGTAAGATATTATACAGATAATATAATGCATAATGTAAACACATACTATCTCCTATGTAAAATACATCTATGAGATGAGAGTAATGACAAAGCCTATTATGTGCCAGGCACTATTTGAAAAATTCTACATGCACTGACTCATTTAGTCTTTGCAAAGATCTAAGCGATAGAGAGAAAAGAGTGGAGATTTGAACACAGGCAATTTGGCACCCAGGTCCCAGCCCCTAACCAATATGTGATTCATCTCTATTGTGATCATAGTCCACAATGGCAACTATTATCATTGCTGTTATTATTAAGTCAGAATAAGAATTGTGGAGCATATGTCCAACCTGTTACCTTCTCTGCACCTCAGCTTCCAACCTGGTAATCTGCCTGAGTAACCTCTCTCTCTCCATGTAGCTCTGACTCTCTCTGGTCTTTATCTAAGAAGTGCTTGTAGAACATCTTAACATTCTCAAGTTACTGAATACATTTGTTTAAAAGGAAATTTCTTTGTCTAAAATTTGTGAATGATTTTAAAACTTTGTCTAGGCTTTTAATAACATAGATAATAGTAATAACAAAACTGTGAAGAATAGTTTTCTCTACTCAACATATATTTACAAATAAGGTTATTCCTTTCCCTGAGTATATAAGTTTGCAAACACAGTTTAGCAAACTTCCAGGCAATCAGTGTCCATTAAAAAATAAAAATCTGGAAAAAATTCTGGCAGGGTAAACCAATTAAGGCAGGGTAAAACTTTAATTAAGAAACAAATGACACTAGGGGTGCCTGGGTGGCTCAGCTGGTTGAGTGTCCAACTTGACTCGAATTAAAATGATCTGTGGTTTGTGATGTTGAGCCCCGCATTACGGCTCTGTGCTTGAACTCAGAGCCTGGAGCTTGCTTCGGATTATGTGTCTTCCTCTCTCTCTGCCCTTCTCCCACTCTTTCTCTCTGTCAAAAATAAATAAACATTAAAAATAAAAAAAAAAAGAAACAAATGACACTAGTTTCCTCTAGCGAAATGTTTCCTTGACACTTTCAATTACTCTTATTAAATATCATCAGTAAAATTCCACCTTGGCCACTTGAATCCCCACCTATGCCTTCTTTAACCTGTGCCATGTGGATTTTATTATCATTGGAATCCTGCAGTTGTCTCCTCAAGGTCACAAATGACTCCTTCATTTTAAATTTAAGTGTGCATTTTCTTAATCCTTATTTCTCTTGACTTCTCTGGAATATTTGATTAAGTGGATCACTTCCCCGAATCAAAATCTATCCCCAACTTTCACTGCATTCTGTTGATCAGGTTTTCCTATTTTATCTTTCCTTCTTGCATCTTCATTTATTCAACAGATACTCATTTAGTACATGCTATAGGCTAGGCCCTGTTCTAGGCAGTGGAGACAGTGACAAATAAGATGAAGTCCCTGCCTACCTAAAGATTATTGATGTATTTTACCTCCATCAACCCATTCTTGGATCCTTCTCCTTCCCCACATATACATGTTTTTCCACCTTTTACTTCTTCAAATAATCCATTTCCATGCTCTTAGCCACTGCTTTTAAGCAGATTACTCCCAGTATAATTTTGAATTAGGTAGACATGAGGTTCAAATCCTAGATCCAGTACTTCTTATTAATAATAGCCATTAGTAAGTTACTGAAACACTCTAAGCACTGTTTTTTTTCATCTGAAAAATAGAGATAATAATCATATCTATGTCATTATTGTGAGATAAGTTAGAAAATACGTATATAGTGTTTAAATTATCTAGCACTTAACAGCAAGCATGCTATTGTTATTGGTGATTGCTTTCTTATTCCTTTAGTCTCTTATCCATATTCTTATCCTTGTGGTCAACCTCCACTAGATCGCTTGCAGCTGTTCATTAAACCACCCCCTCCTTTTGGATGACTATGCTACCTCAAATTCTATGTGTCTTTTCTTGTATGTTAGCTCTCCACTTAAATTGTTCATTTAGATCACTGTCTGTATCTTCTTCAGGTCACTAGAGTTGAAAATTATGAACTCCTACATCTCCATAAGCCTACAGGAACAATCACTATTGAAACTTCTAGGCATTTTGAGGACAAGATCCAGTTTTTCTTCATCATAGTATACCCAAGTGTAACACAGAATCAATGCCCCAAAATGCTGTTTGAGTAAAAACTAAGTGAATGAATCAGTTAGAATTGGGGAGGAGGAAAGAGTAGCTAGAGGTTGTGTTGAGGCCGAAGAGTGGGTACAGATTGGTTAAGGGATTAGTAGAAGGGGAACCTTGGGACAGGGAGTGGAATTTCAATTTATAATCTTGGATGTGGGTCAATTCCTAGGGACAATAAAGATACACTGATGGGTGACTGTTGTGAAATTAGAGGAAGAGCCCTCTGGAGAGCAGTTTGCTTAATTTATATGCTCCCAAAGAGGCAACTGTCTCGTAGTTCCTTTCACTCTGAGGAAGTACATGGACAATTTGTCCTTTGAATGACAGTTGTTGCCATTGTTTTCATACCCCTTAGCCATTTGTGCTCCAGACTGAGGGCTTCAGGGAAAACGCTTGAGGTTTTTCCTTTACTCAGACTTAGCACTGTGCCCACACAGCCTGTCTGCCACTGTTGCATCATATCTATACCTTTAGCCAGACTCCACAATGCATTAGCAGTCAACTGCCAGGGGAATGGTGTTCTCCATGTCTAGGACCTTGAATAATCAAACTGCCACATCCCTACTACATCAATTACAGTGATTACTCTCTGAAGATAATCCTGTTACAGATATGTTTCTCTCCCTGGGTGGACTCTGGGGGAAATGAATCAATTTCTAAATAAATACTATTGTTTTATAGTAATTGAAATGAGTGTAAGTCTTTGATAGCATTGGCTAACTTTCCACAGGGGGAAGAAATGCTTGTCACACTCAAAAGGAATATAGTATGTCATATTCTCCTATTATTGTTCATGACAAAAGTTTAAGCAAATAATATGTTCTCCATATGCTGTGGACCAAATTTTGCCTCTAATGTAATACTGAACCATCAAGACTAATGATTGTAGTATGTAACTATACAGGAGTTAATGTGCAATGAAATATGTAATAGCTAAATATATATGATTTTTAATTATCTTTTCAAAATCATTATTATTATTACCATTTCAATTAATTAAATATTTAAGAATTCTGAGTCTTATGTTTTGGCAGTAAAGTGGTCTGTAATTTTAGAAACCTAGATAGCATTTTTTAAAATTGAACATACATAAATGCCTATTACCATTCAAGATAAAACTTCTTAAAAATTTTTTTACAATCTGATACTGAGACAATTTTCAGCTCACTGATTTAAATTTTTACAGGCAATTTAAGTAATATGATGGAACGTAATCAGAAACAATTCTAATATAAAACTAAATACCCAATAAGATATCTAAACCAAGATTTTTCACATAGTAATTTTTATTTAATTTATCTGTGGGCCTACCTATCCTATTTCTGGTTTTGAAACATATTTGATGCTCTTTTCTTTAAAGCAGACATAATTTTCACTTGACTTTGTTTTCCCTATCTCTATTAGGTATTTTGCAATATGGATCTTAATGGGGGAGGTTGGACCGTAATACAACATCGCGAAGATGGAAGTCTGGATTTCCAAAGAGGTTGGAAAGATTATAAAATGGTAAGATGGAGGAATTTAGTTTTTTGATGTTTTATCATGAGGTTACCTTCACCACACTGTGTGATAAGCCCTTGTACTTTTAGGTGTTTTTTCAGTTATTTTAAAAATAAAATGATACATTAGTCACATTATTTTTATTAAACACAAAACACTCATAAATCATTTTCAGTAAATGATTTCCATATGTGCATCAGAAAGAAAAATGTATTACTGAAATTATTTGGTGAACTGTTATGTATTATCTGGATTTGTTCCTGGTTGAATGAGGGTGGGGAAAGCTAGAACTCAGACCCAGGTTGAGTACATGATCCAGGTCAAAGGAGGTGTGCATGGCTCTGGATTATGGAGAGGTACTTCCAGTGGCCTCACTCATGTAGCTGGCAAGTTGTTGCTGGGTGTTGACTAAGAGCTCCTCCGTGTGGCTGGGTTGGGCTTCTCCCAGTATGGTGATCCAGGGTTATCAGACTTCTTATGTGACAGTTGGCATCCCTCAAGCACAAAAATAAATCTTTTTAAGGTTTATTAGACCCAGAAATGGTACTGTATCACTTCTACTGCTTCCTTTGGTTAGAGTTAATGAGAGGGCCAGTGTACATTCAAGATTCAAGGAGTACACAAGGGTGTGAACTGTGAAGCATGGTTCACTGGGGTCTCCAGAATTATAGCAGACATCACTGGTCACCATCACTATCATTGTAGCTAATCTTTCTAATGCTTAATATGACACAGCCCTATACATAAATTCTTATTCATTTTTTATATCAAACCTATTAACTGTCTCCATTTTAAGAGGAAAGTCAGCAAGTTGGGAGATCAACTTTTAGAAGATAATATAGTAGATAGTTTATATTTTTTTAATCTTTATTTTTGAGAGAGAGAGAGAGAGAGAGAAAGATAGAGTGCGAGTGGGGGAGGAGCAGAGAGAGAGGGAGACACAGAATCCAAAGCAGGCTCCAGGCTCCACACTGTCAGCACAGAGCCCGATGTGGGGCTCCAACTCAAGAACCGTGAGAGCATGACCTGAGCCAAAGTCAGACACTCAACCAACTGAGCCACCAGGCACTCCTATAGTAGATACTTTAAATAATGCACAATCCAATAGTCATAGAGTCAATGCCTACTAAATTAACTATTAAAATCTGCTGACAGAATGTCAAGATGCAATAATGGAAGAGGCTTCCATTTATGGACTAATTCCATAATTTACATCTAAATGTTCTGGGTAATTCTTGTTTTGACTAACTTTTGACAAATTCCCCTCTCAGAAGGTTAAAGAAAAGGTGAAGAGAAATGTATGAGTCTAAGCTCTGTCTTAATATTCTTATAGAAAATGTGTGAAAACTGTAGCTAATAGACATCACACTGTACACATTAGTAGGTTCATAGTTGGTCAAATGACAGTTAAAATGATTTGAATAAATGAAGGGCATCTCTTGTGGTGTCTCTGTGTCTACTATATTTATTATCAGATACATAGTTGAATACTCTGAATGTAGGTTAATAAAGTTTAGAGTTATACAAAGTTGGAACCTTAATGTCTTCAAAAAAGCATGAATTCAAGGTAGAAAGGAAAGCTACAGCCAACAAGATAGAATTCTACAGAGATAAATGTAGTCTTCCACCTAGACCAAAAATACACAAAATTAAGTAAGAGTATAGGATGAAAATGACAAATTAGCTTAAGAACCTGGTATTTAAAGGATGTATAGATTTACCTGACTATAAGCTCATTTTGTGTTGCTAGCTATTAAAAACCAAGACCAGTGTGCTCAGTCTATTTAATAGTTTATAGTCTCAAAAAATGCAGACCCGGGGCGCCTGGGTGGCACAGTCGGTTAAGCGTCCGACTTCAGCCAGGTCACGGTCTCGCCGTCCGTGAGTTCGAGCCCCGCGTCAGGCTCTGGGCTGATGGCTCAGAGCCTGGAGCCTGTTTCCGATTCTGTGTCTCCCTCTCTCTCTGCCCCTCCCCCGTTCATGCTCTGTCTCTCTCTGTCCCAAAAATAAATAAACGTTGAAAAAAAAATTAAAAAAAAAATGCAGACTCACTGGTGTCTACTGTAGTCTGATTACATCATTAATAATGCTTTAAATTCTTGTGGATTTCGAACAAGTGAACTTATCCTATAAGGTGCAAGCACTGAATGGATGGGGCTGTAACCTGAAGGGAAAGCAAAGCATTTAGGTATAAACTGTCTGATAGCTATTTAAATTGACTGGGTGGAGGTAGCCTGCTCCTTACCCTGTGGTGTGGTCCAGAAACCAGCAGCACTGGCATTGTCTGGGAGCTTCTGAGAAATGCAGCATCTCAAGCTCCATCCCTGAGTTAGAATCTAAATTTTAACACTGCTTTAAAGAAGGAAGCCCCATAATGAGTGGAAGAACATTCCAGAGAGGCAAAATTTGAGTATGAACAAAAGTCTCTGATGATTCTTTCCAACATGAATGGACTGCCTATTAAGTGGTGAAGACCTCTCTTCAGTGGAAACACTCCAGTAGAATGTAAATCACCAGATTATAACAGAGAATATTAGTTCCACTTCAAGGTCTCTTTCTACTTATGTGATTCTAAGAACATATGGGAAACATTTCATCTAAATTCTCAAAAAAAGGGGCCTTGCATTATGTCTATATCAACAGTTTGAATCTTCACCCTGCCATTTGCAAATGGAGTGTTTTTGGCAAATCATTTAACCTATACCTAACTTACTCACCAGTTAAAAGGGGACATTAATGATAATACCTCACCTGCCTTGCAGGGATGTTGTGAGGATTAGATATAAATAAAACACTTGACATACTACATTTTCAATAAACAGTAGTTATTACCCAAGAATAAGACATCAAAGAGTGCAAAATTTTTACTTGCCAAAAATACTATTTTGCAAACTATCTTATCTCAGGATTATTTAAACCACTAAAACGGAATGTGAAGAAGTCATCTGAGAATCAGACTGTAGATACAGGTTCAGGCAAATCTGAAAAACATTATTATTAATATCAATGATAATAGAAAAATGAATATAAAGTGATCATCATGGTGACTTTCCATAATGCTGAATTATTATTTGTAAGCACCTGCTGCCTTGGCAAACTAGACACATTAAGTAAGACAGACTGACCTGAAGTATGGCAATGATTCATGTCTTATAAGTATTTATGTATTTTTTTTTTAATTTTTTTTTTCAACGTTTATTTATTTTTGGGACAGAGAGAGACAGAGCATGAACGGGCGAGGGGCAGAGAGAGAGGGAGACACAGAATCGGAAACAGGCTCCAGGCTCTGAGCCATCAGCCCAGAGCCCGACGCGGGGCTTGAACTCACGGACGGCGAGATCGTGACCTGGCTGAAGTCGGACGCTTAACCGACTGCGCCACCCAGGCGCCCCAGTATTTATGTATTTTAAGCAACTTTTTTCGATGTTTGACTGAGACTGAATTATTCTTTAATTATAGCTTTGGGGAAGTTTACCCCTCCCCCCCTTTTTTTAAATACAAAGACTATCCTATTTCATTCAAACTAGAACAATTTATCAGCTGAGTGTCAATTCAACATGGTCAGAAAATTGAGAGAAGTGCCAAAATCTGAAACATTTTGGCAAAAATGAGTCTGACTGATTTTTTGTTTTAATTGAGAGAATTCATCACATGTCACAACTTGGTTAACTTTCACCAAAACACATGGTAGAAAGTGTTCCCATTGTTTTCCTCCAGAGATTTTTACTCTGGACAAAATAAGGACTCCCAACAAGAATGGATGTAGGTTCCTTCCGCCAACTCTTCTCAGTCACACCCACTTCTGTTCCTAACATCAGAAGAACTGGCTGCTAGGGTGTTGGATCCTTTGGGAAAACACAAACTTCTTGGCATGCCCCATCTCCTCCTCAATCTTCACGAGTCTCCTGTTATACACTAAGATGCTTCACCTCTTTCTTGAGTGCTGAGTACAGAAATAAAATTTCATCCTGCCTTCCTTTCTGCCTCGCCTCTCTCCTTCCCTTTATTCTGGTTGATATCTATGGGCTGCCTTTTGCCTCATAAGGTTTCCAGAACAATATGTTAAAATTATCAGCACATGAATTACAAATTCAAATTGTAATTTATTATTTTTAAACCTCTCTCACCAGGGAAGATTTGCAACTTATTTGATTCTTAACATTGGCTTTAAGCCTACAAAAGCCTTTTACCTGAGCTTTGTTTTCACTTAACCTTCCTTATGAGGGGATTCAGCAAAATCTGGTTTATGGATTTGTAAAGATGTTTGCAGAGAGGGAAGTCTGCAGTGGGCCTTTTTAATGAGGCACTTAGGGAACCATTTTAACTCTTTCAAGCCAGGAGGATACCATTCAGTGGCCTCCAGCAATGGCACTTATCAGCAGTACTTTTGCATATATAAAGCCCAGTCAGCTTGGAATTCCAAATAGTACTCTAGTGGCCTAACTTTATGGAAGGTAGTGACTAATGCCCTGGAGACAACCTGGCTTTGTATTGAAAACAATTACCCCCATAAACAGAACTTCCTACTGACACAAATATTCGGTCTGAGCACCATACCTTCTGGGAGTTCTTTGAGCACCATAGCTTCTTAGAGCTCTTTGTTTCTGGAAAGAAATTAAGAACATATTTTCAGCTGCTTTTTAACATCTTCACATTAAAAAGAGAAAAATATATATAAGAAATTTAAAATGTTGAAGTAAATCATTCTTTTGATCTTTCTTGGGATGAATGTCTCAGCAGTTACAGGAAGAGATACATGATTGAATTGTGTATTAAAGCACCTCTGAAAAGCCATAGATCAGTAACCCTGCCTTCATATCTGTTTTCTTTAATCATTTGTATGGAAAAAAGATGAAACCCATAAAATACATCGACTGTGTCTGGTTTCAATTGTGTTTCAGCTATAGAAAGTCAACACTTCCTAGAAGCATTATCCGACAAAAAAAAAAAAAAAAAAAAAAAAAAAAAAAAAAAAAAAAAAAAGCAACAAAGTATAGAGACCATTA